CAAGAACGACGAGAACTACGAGGCGCTTCAGCAGAACTTCCGCGATCTTGAAGCGATGACCGACTTGAATGAACAACCGCTGGAGGTCATTCCTTTGATGATGCCGAAAGCCAAGTATCAAGACGATCAGCGGCTTCCGGCAAGCTACTGCAATTTTTACATCGCCAACGGAATTGTCATAGTTCCGCAGTTTGGCGACGATGCCGACGACAAAGCGTGCGATACGCTGCAACAATGCTTCCCGGACCGCAAGATCGTACCGATTGAAGCGATCGATCTTGTATGGGGCTTGGGGGCTTTCCACTGCATATCGCAGCAGATTATGAAGTAGGCGATTGGCTTTCGACGAGCCATTTTCTACTATGCCAGGCGATTGCCGTTGGCAGTCGGTTTATCGGGGACGGCCAGGGTTACCGCGCCGTCTTCGCCATAGAAGCCCGTGACAAGGACTTCGCTGCGAATAGGACCGATCTGCTTGGGAGGAAAGTTGGTGACGGCAATGATCTGTTTACCGACGAGTTCTTCTCGCGAATAGAGCTGCGTGATCTGGGCACTCGATTTTTTGATTCCCAAAGGCCCGCCGAAGTCGATCTTCAGCTTGTAGGCAGGCCGCCGAGCCTCGGGGAAGTCTTCTGCTTCAACGATCGTGCCGACGCGTAGCTCGACCGCATCAAATTCGTTCCAGGTAATTTCAGGCATGATTAATCTAAATAGGTTTGTAGCTTTTTCAGGGTCGTTTCTTTGCCTAGCTCTCGCTTGCCAAACCCAGGGACGGCGCCTGCTTCGACCGCGGCAGCTTGGGCGTCCTCATAGTTCGAGAGAAGCATGACAGGGATTTCTTTCAGCTGGTCGTCCGCTTTCATCTCTTTCAAGATGTCCATTCCGTCGGAATGATCGCGATCGAGCTTACGATTAATGACCACCAACGCGAAGGTTTGTTCGCGCAGCATTTTCAATGTATCGGTGGGCCCGTGCGATTGGAGCAGCTTCGCGTCGAAGTTGCGTTCGATCAAATCTTTCAACGAACCATGGTCGTAACCACAGTTGCCCACGTCGAGAACTTGCTTAGGCATATTGATGGTTCCTTCAGAACGGGGTGAGAAAGGGAAATGCGTATGGAGGCGTTGACGTAGGATGGTTACCGACGTCTTCGGCGGATAGCCATGTTGGACCGCTAATCCATTTCAACCGGAAGTGGACGGCGATCGACTCGGAAGCCGCATCCTACGTGCAGTAGGGGATCGGGCCGTGGCTTGCCGTTTGAATCACCACATTAGGGCATAAAAAAACGCGAGAGGGAGCTTGGCCCCTCTCGCGTCTTGGATGCCATAAATTGGTCAGAGGTTACTCGCCGCCTTCGGTGATGGCGAAGAGATGCGTCTTATTGGCGATGTAAAGCACGCCATTGGCAACGATCGGGGTCGAGTAGACCGAGTTGC